TTACCTTTCCGTTTAAACTTTACCTTTCCGTTTAAACTTTACCTTTCAGTTTAAACTTTACCTGTTCTAGGTGAGCCTCTGACCAGAGGAAAAGGCTCCAGATTCCCTCTGATATCAAACCTTCTGGATTTAATCAATAATTTGGGAATTTGGTGGACTTCCAGGACGGTTTCTGGCTCAGAAAATCCACATTTTTAACGTTTAATATTGATTTTATCCTCCTCCTCCAGTTTATTGGCTTTTTAAATGGGACTGTGGGGGTTAATAGATCATTAATAAACTTGATTTTTTCTGCTTTTTCTTAACTTTTACAGGCGGATTTGTGGCTTTTGCAACAGATCGTGGTGTTAATTCTGTTGTGATCACTCAATTTAAGCTTTACTGTCCCGAATAAGTTAGTTTTTTGTCCTCTTGTGTCATTTTTTAAAGCAGTTTTGTCCCTTTTTCTGCTCTTTTTCTTCACATTTTGATAATTTTGTGTCAATTTCAGCACCGTTTCTGGTCTTTTTTCTGTTTTCTTTTGTCATTTTCTGGTCACTTTGTCCTTTTTCCTGGTCTTTTGCTCAATATTTTGGTGACTGGTTCCATCTTATTATTGGAGTTTTTGTCAGTTTCTGTTCAGTTTCTGAATATTGTTTTCAGTGTTTGTCTTCATTTTTCTTTTTTTAACTCTTTTTGTCTCTTTTTCTGCTCTTTTTCTCCACATTTTGGTCTTTTGCTGTTTTCTTTTGTCATATTGTAGTCAGTTTGTCCTTTTTCCTGGTCTTTTGCTCAATATTTTGGTGATTTTTCTATCTTATGGGAGTTTTTGTCAGTTTCTGTTCAGTTTCGGAATATTCTTTTCAATTTTTTTCTTCATTTCTCAATTTTTAAACTCATTTCGTCCCTTTTTGTGCTCTTTTTCTCCACATTTTGATAATTTTGTGTCAGTTTCAGCACAGTTTCTGGTCTTCTATCTTATTATTGGAGTTTTTGTTCAGTTTCAGAATATTCTTTTCAGTTTTTTGTCTTCATTTCACTTTTTTTTAAAACTGCTTTTGTCCCTTTTCTTCTCTTGTGCTCCACATTTTGGTCATTTTGTGTCCGTTTCCCGTCTTTTTCTGCACTTTTTTTAGCAGTTCTGTGTCTTTTCTCGTCACATATCTGCACATCTCTGTTTGTTTACTGAGTCTCCTGCTCTGATTGGACGCTGAAACGGTGACATCACCCGACCTGAGGGTCTTCGGCTTTAAACGGGGGCCGTTCGGGTGTTCAGGGATCCCTTTTTTCTCTCGTTTGATTACTCAAAGCGAAAAAGCCGCGACCAAATTTGGAGCTGCTCCCGGCCGGCTGCATGTCTGAGCTTTGAGTCACGGCCGCCGGTTGCCAGGTTGGCCGCCCTCCCCCCTTTTCCACCGCCTCTCCATCCTAAAGAGGAGCCACAGAGGCCTCTGGGTAGATAAAGTAACAGCCAGGGAGACTCAAACTCACGTTTTTCCTCGTTTGTTTGGAAAAGTGAAGCCATTTGCTGCCAAATTTTATTTAAAGAGGACATTTAAAATAACCGAAGTTGCCACAGTGCTGTACAGGTAAAAATAAACATAAAAAGCTAACATAATTTACACACATATATGTGATTTTAATGTAAAATAAAGAGGTAAAAAGGTAATAAAATAAAATAAAATAAAAAGGTAAAAAGGTGCTCTACCTCAAAGGTTTGTTTGGAAAAGTGCCGCCATTTTTTGCCACATATCAAGTCAAGTCCAGTCAAATTTTATTTATAGAGCACATTTAAAATAACCGAAGTTGCCAAGGTAAAAATAAACGTAAAAAGCTAACATAATTTACACGCATATATGTGATTTTAATGTAAAATAAAGAGGTAAAAAGGTTAAAAAAAAATAAAATAAAATAAAATAAAAAGGTAAAAACAAAAAAGTCAATAAAGGTTTTTTAAAGATCAAATCTTCTACTTCTTCTTCTCCTCCTTTTCCTGTGCAGCTCCACGGGGTGGTGCGGGTGGTGATGGAGCCCCTGCTGGGGGACATGCCTCTGGTCGGGGCGCTGTCCGTCTTCTTCCTCAAGAAACCCGTGAGTACCCACCGCGACCTTTGACCCCTCTGCTGTTTTTGGCC